GTGAACAACACTTCAGCAACATGTGAAGAACACTTCAGCAACACGTGAACAAGAATTCAGCAACATGTGAAGACCACTTCAGCAACATGTGAAGAACACTTCAGCAACATGTGAACAACACTTCAGCAACATGTGAATAACACTTCAACAACACGTGAACAACACTTCAGCTACATGTGAACAACACTTCAGCAACATGTGAACAACACTACAGGAACACGTGAACAACACTACAGGAACAAGTGAACAAGAATTCAGCAACACGTGAACAACACTTCAGCAACATGTGAACAACACTTCAGCAACATGTGAACAACACTTCAGCAACATGTGAACAACACTACAGGAACACGTGAACAACACTACAGGAACAAGTGAACAAGAATTCAGCAACACGTGAACAACACTTCAGCAACATGTGAACAACACTTCAGCAACATGTGAACAACACTACAGGAACAAGTGAACAAGAATTCAGCAACATGTGAACAACACTTCAACAACATGTGAACAGCACTTCAGCAACACGGGAACAACACTTCAGCAACATGTGAACAACATTTCAACAACATGTGAACAACACTACAGGAACATGTGAACAACAACATGTTGCTGATGGAAGCTTCAGAACTGAACATCAAATCAGAAACTAACTTCAGGCCTCAGGCTTCTCATGAATCTCGCCAACTTAAAACWTTTTATTTGGATTTTAAATACTTAAGAGAACAAATGTAAGTCAACGTTGCAACAATAAAGTCCTGCAGGGACTTCCATATTTATCATTTCTTCTCAGTCAAAGGTTTTACAGAAAAGTGTTTCAGAAGCTGTTTTAAACAAACCTTAAGATGTAAAAAGAGGTTTTAAAATGTGTTTAAATCTGGTGTACAGATTCATCTAAGGTAATTATTTCTGACTAAGACTTTTGCACAGAACTAACCCYGAGGATGAGGAGCACTCTGCTGCAGCTCAGCTGGACTGAACCACATGTTGTGTTTAATTCTTGTTGTTTATCTACATTTTGAAGCAGGTAGGAAGAGTTTTGAGCTGTTTTCCAGTTAGTTTATTCTTCAGAGCAGCCTTACAGTTTATCATCTTTTCTTTTTTCTAATGAGTAAAAGTTTTTATTATTACAGGTATTTTTACATGAAACATACATCTAAATACGTTTTTATTATCATTGCTTTGATTCTAATATGATGAAAAAATCTGTCTAGCCACATATTGACTGTTTAATCACTAATAATAATCCTTTTTTAATTGTTTATATTTAGCACAATGTGACCTGTCATGTTTACAGATACTCCAGAGTGAGGTCATAACCTCAAGTCTGTCAAACTGTGAATAAAACTGTTTTTTTTAAATCTGCAGAAACTTTAATCAGGCAGAACGGATCAGAAACGTCTGCAGTGGTTACTGATCTCTTAATGAATCATTAGTTTGACTCCAGTCCCAGCTGGATTTGTTAAATAATACAAAACAAGCAGAGACAGCCTCAACTTTAAAACTAGAAACTTTTCAATCTAAAAAAAGTTAATGAACCATTAAAGAGTCAAACTTTGTGACTTCATCCTTAAGATGCAGAAACAGCTAAACTCCACCTGCAGTGACAGAGAGGAGACAGTTCAGCCTAATATTTGTTCCCTCAAATCTCTGGTTTTATAGAAATGAATATTAAACAATAGTAAGGCAGAAGAAGCATAAAGTTACCATAAAAAACTGTTTTCTTCTATAAAATCTGAGCCACTAATCAGCTGAAACATCAGGTTTTCTTTCTTTAAAGCTGTTGTTTTTAGTCAGACTTCAGTTTGTCAGTTTCACTTTTCTCTCAGAAACATAAAGAATCTAAAGATAAAAATGAAAAGAGTTAAAGAACTAAAGGTGAGTCCACATCCTGCTGCCACAGGTTAGGAAGGAAGTGAAGGAGGTGAAAAGATGGACAGAATCTGACACACACACACACACACACACACACACACACACACACACACACACACACACAC